GGTGGGGAGGGGCCTGGGTCTGGGGCCCTAGTTATAGCCCCGCTCCTCATCCTGACTTCCTCTCAAGCTGCACACTGTCTGTCCTCCTGGCCCATTTCCGAGGGGGCAGGACGTGGGCACTTTCCCTGCAGGGCATAGTCCCCTGAGACACTTGTGAGAGGACAGAGGTTGAGATTGGGGAGTCTGCTCCATTCACTCGGCCCTTCTGTCTCACTAAATATATCTCCGCTTCTTAAAAACTCCCCCACTTTCTCCTGCCTCCTTCCTGGCTTTGCAGTCTCGGCTGCCATCTTCTCTTTTACTTTCTTCAGTCTTTTGGTCATTCTTCACCACGTTCTAGTGCGGGCACTGTGCCGGGCACAGGAGCACGCCGGTGAGACCCCTCTGTCTGCCCTGCTGTAGCTGGTCGTGACCCTGACCCAGGAGTGGAACACCAGCAGCCACCCCAGCGAGGACACGCAGCACCTGGCCATGGAGCTGGCGGACACCAAGGCCACACTGCCTGGCGTCAGGCAGGAGCTGTGAGTTCCCCAGTGACCCTGGTCTTTCTGCTCTTGTGCCGTGTGTCACCACCCATTGCTCGCACATGTGGTTCACTGCCATGCGGTGCAGCAAACGGGGCAGCTCTCACAGTGCCCTGGAGTGACGGGGCTCTGCTTTGAGCTGGGTCCCTGTTGGGCCCTGGGCTAACCCGCTCCCTGCCCTCCCCGGGCCTGCATAGCAGGGTTCTGCTGGGCCTTTAGGGCTCCTGCCAGTCCAGACATGGCAGACTCAGAGCAGCAGCCTGTTGCTCAGCCTCGGGCCCAGTGTGGGTGCTCTTGGCTGGAGGGAGGATGTGTCTCTCCCGTCTGGTCCGGTGGGCCTGCTTCCTGCAGCTGGTGATGGCACCATGCCTGGTATCTGGGAAGCTGCCTGCCTTCACCTCCCTGCCAGGGGGCCTCCCTGCCTGCCTGGCTGTGGAGGGAGCAGTGGCTCTGGGGGCTCCTTCCCTGTCCTGCACCCTCAAAGGAAAGCTCAGGTCTGTGGTGAAGTCTGAGAGCAGCAGTGACAACTTAAAGCTCACCTTGGACTCCAGAGTGTTTTTGCAGCCCCACGTGTAGACGCCCTCCTCATGCCTAGAAGCCAGGACCCCCTCCTTCCCCGCTGTGGTCTCCCAGGTGGTGGGCTTTCCGGGTGCTTCTGAGGAGCCCTCACCACGTGTTCTCATCGCCCCCAGGGAGGAGAAGACGAA